CTTGCGTCAACCCTTAGGATGGTCACGTGTGTTTCAGGTATATATATACTATATGAACGAAATAAAACGAACGGACGAACGGACGAACGAACTTTAACTCAAATTCTGTGTATACCCTCCTTTCAGTAGAGGGAATATTTTATTTTCCATACTTATACACTTGACTATAGCCGGTATCATGCGGTTATACGGATTTTCTCTGAAAATCAGTATCCCTTATTTGAAAAAAAATATATTGCTAATCCTAAAAAAGTAACGCTAAATTCGAGTTTCTGGACCCTAAGAGCCTTCGCTTGGCTCTTCTTAAAAATAGTCCTTTGTTTAAAAGAATGATCTAGAAAGAAATCTAAAAAAACTAACGCTACAAGTAGCGCGGCACCGTAGCTATTGACTCTCTACTGAAAGAAAATTATAACATCTCTCATAACCCTCAAACCAAAGAAATAAGAATTACGCCATTAAATGATCCAATCATTTGATAATTTGTCTAACTCTTTTACTTATACTCATTTTGCTCCCTAAAGTCTTATTAGAATACCACCTAGTCGTTCCCATAACTATCTCCGCTATGTCTTTCACTCTTAATAAACTTTTAAAGTGAACAACTACGTTTATTTTCATTGTTCTTTCCAAATTGGTGATCTTCCACTCATTTCGTTAACAAAGGAAACTAGAGAAGCAGTTTTATTTCATGGTTTATTCTTGAGAGAATACTCATCCTAGTGCTTGATATGTTGAGAATTCTATTTGTATAGTCGATGTTTCTGTAGCTAACAAGATGGAGCTATCCTGGTGGGCACATCTTTTTTGTCACATATTTCCCGCTAAAATCCTATCGAAAAATCTGACATTCAATAATGATATTAAGTTCATGCCACTTGTTCTGATTTCTTGATTTATAACTATCGCAGTGTAAGATATACTGAATCTTTTGTTTAAACTACTACCTTCATACACATCACACCCAGGAACATTGTTCAACTCACTACTTTCTATAAAAGATTCTAGCAAGGATAGAGAAGAATATCTCTCTGGAAAAGAGCAATGAAGACGCCGAAGCTTGATGAATAGGAAAGAGCTAAACTCATATTCGTGATTTTCGACTCCAAGAATGCTCCCATCAATCATTTTCTAACGAGCATATTTAAGTTTTAATCGATTAACAAATTGCTGCAATCTGATTGGATGATGCAAACAAACAAACCTTATGCCTTTTAACAAGTGTATTTATGGCGCTATAAGCCTTTCTTTTAGAAAAGGGAAAAATATGATTATTCATCGTTCTGTTTTTTTCTCGTTCTCATCATACGTGAAAAGTAAGAAAGGTCATAACCAGTTGTTTCTCATATGAAATAAAATGGATGACTAAGAAAGCGTAGAAACGATCACGCTTTTACGAGTATATACTATTTGTTTTTATCACTTTTTATGAAAAAGGTACAATCATTGGGGTTGGTTATATTCGCATTTTATTGACTGAAGATTTTAGAAAATATCGACCAGCAATAACTTTCGATTTTACATTTCTGGTTGTTCCAACACCAACTGATTGAGGAAGATAATCGTCTCGATTTCAAGTAGGTACTGATCCTAGTGATAAAATTTACATATTAATCACAATTCAAAAAGATAACATTACGTCCAATACCTGAATTACGTTGAAGCACGTTTGTGAACTATTGGTTTCACACTGTTCTAGATCCAAAGAAACAATTGATTAATTAATAATGTTTTATATTTTGAAATATTGTTTGATTTATATTCTATTTGGAACTGCTGATTCCTTTTCTAATTATGATAAAACTGTTCTTGAATATTCACCTGTTGTCTACTGGTCTCTTGATCCTCAGAATCCAAACGATTATTCAAATCATAATTTAAATGGAGCATTTACGAATAATCCATCAAATACAACAATGCCAAATGGTGATATTGTCTGTGTATTCAATGGACTTGATCAATATTATACAATTGAAGAAAATGATTATTTAGAAATTGCTCGTACGGGTATTTTAACAATTGTTGCTTGGCTGCGTCCAGATACATTACAATTTGAGCACAGCGAAGGCAGTGGATATGTTTGGTGGATGGGAAAAGGAGAAACTAGTCGACAAAGTTGGGCAGCACGAATGTATAATTATCAAAATCAAGAAAGTCGTCCGAATCGTATTAGTGGTTATGCGTTTAATGCAAGTGGAGGATTGGGTGCAGGTAGTTATTTTCAAGACACAGTTATTGTTGGAGAATGGATTCTATATACACTCGTTATTAATACAGTTAATGTTTCTAATGCGTATCCAACTGGTTATATAAAAATTTTCAAGAACGGAATTCAACGTGATCAAGATGCATTGATTAGTTACAATGTAGTGCCAACAAAAGGTACAGCACCAATGCGCATTGGAACACGAGATCAACAATCATTTTTTAAAGGAGCCATTGGAAAAGTCGCACTTTTTGATTATGAATTGAATTCATCACAATTACAAAATTTCTATAATTGTATGAAAGACACAAATAAATGTTCCATGACAAACAATTCAAGGAAGGTGAAACATGACTATGGAACATTGATCGTCATATTGTTATCAGTGTGTATGAACTTAGGCATCATTTTATAAAGCTACTGCATAGAATTTAATCTAAAAAAACTTTTACAGTAAAAAATAATAACATATTCGAAATTAGCATTCAAAACTCAGTGGACTTATTTAGTTTCCAAAGCCTTTTAACGAATTTTATTTTTCTTGATCAAAGCTGCCTGATGTACCCTCCAGGTATGAGTCAAAAAGTGAGTGTAATTGAAAATGCATTTCTGCTGTCTAATTATAGTTCGTTTATGTTACATTCTAGGAACTTCTTTCGCACTGACTAAAATGCGCTTTCAATTACATTCACTTTTTGATTAATACCTGGGGGTACCTCAGGCAGCTTTGATCAAGAAAAATAAAATTCGTTAAAAGGCTTTGGAAACCAAGTAAGTGTACTCAGTTTTGAATGTTAATTTCGAAAATATTATTATTTTTTACTGTAAATGTGTTTTTTGGATTGAATTCTATCCAAGAACTGTATAAAATGGTGCCAAAATACAAGTCATATAATCTTATTTCGAAAAGCTCATGTCTAAATAAAAAAAAGTAGTTACTTTTGTAACCCTTTCTTTGGGCTTTCATAATCAATCAATCAATCACTCAAAACATCATGTGGATTTTTTGCTTTCTCGAGGTACTAACGTAACAATGGCGAGAAGCGAATACAAATGATTGATTAAGATTCTTTTACAGGACGAGTTTGGCGGCATGGGTTTGGTGGAAAATGTCGAAAAATAGTATATTGGGAAAATTAATTTATTCTATCTTTACAATATAATAAAAATATTACTTTAAATTTAAAAAAGAAGAAAATATTATAAATGTATTCATATATTTATTTATTTTTCCCTCCAACTAATAATGTGAATCCAGCCAACAATTGTTTCGAATTGATTTCACCCTGTTTTATCTGTTGTTTAATGCTTCAAATCGACGTTGAAAATACGTGAACAAATCATCCAGTGAATCAGATGATAATGCACGAATACGCTTGAACTGCTTCTCAACTTCCGCTGGAGGCATGGGAGATAATGCCATTAATTGCAGACATTGTTCACGTATTGTTTCATTTTCTTTGTATTCAGATACCAAACCCAAGTTAGCAATATTTCGGTGAACCGCTTGAAGAAAATGTAAATAACATCCCGAGTGCAACGAATTTGGAAACTAAAAAAACATAAACTTGCAGGTTTAAAAAATCCTTGGCAATAAATTGAAGACGAACTTCTGTATGCACCGCTGAAACAAGTGCTAATTCAAAATCTGAGACAATATATTTTTGTTTAAAGATCTTGTTTTTTCGTATTGCTTCTTCCTTAAAACGTTGAAATAAATCCACATATGTTGTTGTACGCCGATTTGGCAATAAACAGAATGCCACTGGTAGACCTATTTGAAAAGAAAATCAAGTTGATAACAGCAGTGATGGGTTTACTTACGTTAGTTAAATTGTTGCACATGAATTAGAAACATTTGATCGAAAATTCCGGGTGATGTACTAAACGTGCCATCAACAAAAATAACATCGCTGTCAAATAGTAAGTCTAATTGTTGATCACTGGCAAACACGAGCACCCTTTGCTTAGCACGTGTCAGGTAATAATCCATAAGTAAAAATTGTTTTCCAGATAATATTTCTTGATAAGCTGGTGATATATCAAATACACAAGCTTTTGGTATAACCGGAGTGAATTTCTGACGTGCTTTGCTCATATTCCACCCTAATGTGAAAGAAAAAAAATGCTGGTTATAAATACCTATCATGTTAAAGTACACATACGAAACTCAACAACAGTAGGTAATAGAGCAATATCTTCGTTTCAAAGTGAAGCTTTTTTCGTTTCTTCGTCGTAATTTTTTGTAAGGGATGTTGTTTCATGACATTTTTCAGGTGTTTTATAATTAATAAATGAGGTTCGATAATGTGGTTGTGGTTGCCATTGATCGATAAGAACTCGTTGTTTGTATTGGTATGAGCAAACACATTACAACCACGTTGAACGCAAACCCAATACTTCTTTGATAATCTTGTTTTATTGCATTCGAACATATTCATTATGCACCAAAAGTTGCTTTTGTTTATTTGATACCAAAAAAGAAACACCAGATTGGATTACAGGCGTTGGATCTTCTACGATGTTGCTTGCTGGATTCATGATGGGTGAATATTTAGATCTGTTGAATGTTAACGGCTTTAAATAGTGCTGACGTAGCCGTCTATTGAAATTAACTAATTCATAGTAACACTAGACTAGTCACGTTAGTCTACTGATCCAGGGCTATACTGAAATCATACACTTATATCTCTAGGCGAATCGAACAATAAACGTATAAACAATGACACATGGAGTGGATAAGCACATGTTTATTGTAGACATTTGTTGTTTCGGCTATATGCACTCGTTGTTTTCCTTTCGGAGTTTTCCTTCTTTGTATATCTTTCCTGGCGTTACCGTTGTTACAATCAAAATCGTCGATATTTTTCTTTTCGATATTTTCCGTATTTCCCGGCGGCATAACTAACGAATCGCTTAATATTTTGGGATAAAATTTTTATCGCAAATAGACGAAAGGAGAGGTAATGAAATAATACTGTTTCTGGCTGAAAATATCTTTATATGAAAAAATCTACAAGATACGACATTTTATGTACGAGTTACCCTCTGGAGCAGAATAGTGACCGTTCGTAATTCGGGCGAAAATGAGTCTAAATACATGAGAAATAGCCTTATTTTATTATTAAGCGATTTCTCGTGTAATTCTATACTAGAATACTCGTGAATGAACGAAAAGTAACGATAGTTCAAAAATGGTTCTTATGCGCCCCCTGTCCTTTAATAATAAATCGTTGATTGTTTATGCGAGTAATCATAATCGAGTACTTCGATGGTTTCCTGAACAAAAGAAAACTCTCAAAACGATCATTGCTGACATTTGGTACTGTGGATTAGCAATGGAGCATTCGGGTCAATTATACATTGTCGATTTGGCAAATCATTGAATTCTACGTTGGTGCCAAGAATATCAACTAAATCAAATTATTATCAATGTTAATGATAAAGGAGGATGACCATAATATTTATATGTGCCTTATGGCTAAGCATTTGATAATCAACAAAATCTTCTTGTCGGCGATTTTGGAAATAAGAGAATACAGAAATTTCAAGCTGATTTAGATGAAAATTACCGTTAATATCAGTAAGAATTTAATATTTTTATTTGATGTTTCTCTCAAGAGAAACTTTGCAAGAAAATATTCCGAATGTTTTTGTCGACGATTCAATTGGGTATACTCTAACTACATTTAGAAAAAGAAAGGTCAGATAATTACACTTTCGCACCCATGAGCTGTGCAAGAACTGCTGCAAGGTTTGGAAAATTGCTTTGAACGAATGCAGTCAGTTGTTGTTTCACATCTGAAATAGATTCTCCATTATTTGCCACATCAGTTGCAAAGGCTATTGCTAAACCATCGAAGAAATCGACACATGATTGTCCACCCGCCAACAATTATTTTTGATTTCCTGGATTTGTGATATATGCAACTGAAAGTGGATATTTGTTTTGTTCTGCACTATCAGCTAAAGCGATGGCGAACAGGAGACATAACTTAAATGAAATTGCGATGAATGTTTTTCTTTGAGAAATGTCGACTTACCGTGAAAATAATTTTGTTCATCTTGATCTTGATGATTGTGTTTTTGAAATGCGTGTATTTATATGAGAAATAAATGAGGTACCTACTTATTTACTCAAACCTTTCGAATGAGATGAAGGTCGTGAGTATTCGATGCAATTTTTCATTGTAAATATCATTGATCATCTGTCAAAATACATTGAAAGAACATTCCATCGTATTTCAGGGTTCTCCTGCAACGTCTAAGTACTGCTTTCATCTGAAAAAAATCATACTTGCCCAAATAGTTTTCTTTCCTATTTAGTTAAAATTTGCCTCGATTGGTATAAAAGTCGATGTTATTATATAGAGGTAGCGTCCATGAGGGAAAAATTTGTATTTGATTTCATTTTATATGAAATTTTTCTTAATATTATCAAAGTGGAATTATTCAGAACAAAGATGATTATTTTGTACACTTTTTCTTTTCACATTCTGTTCTTACACTATCGGCAACCTTTGCTTCGCTAAAAACGTTGTATCAAAGTAAGGCAAGACATTTGTATAACAAAGTATTCGATATTCATTAATCTTTTGTTGGATTTGTAACATACGCATTATTAGTGGAGATATATGGAGACATCAATTGAAAGAAATGTGTGTTGTGATTATTGAATGCATTTTTATATCATTGAGATCATCATTGGACATTGGATTGTGTAGAATATCGAGTTACATTGTTTCAATGTTGATAGATAAAGAAATCTTTTCTTTTTTCTAGCTAGAGAAGAAAACTGAAATAGACAATCCTTTGTGATGGAAATCACGGAAGGAGATAAAATTTCAAAGGAAATCGAACTTTCCTGTCTACTCTCCTTTTGCTTTTAATACATTAAACAATGTTCGAGAAAGCAGAAACCAGATCATTTCAATATGTATGGATCAACCGGCAAAAGATTGGGAAAGAAATCTAAAAGAAAGAATGGCTTGAGTTGTTTTTTCTCTTCTACTGGTAGGTATTGATTCCAACAGAATTAATTGACTCTTTGCCTCGTTCACCCGAATTGATCGAAGTTCAACATGCTCATCAACTTGGTGAGTTATTGTCGAAAAGATTAAATTTTCCTCAAGAAAAAGATATTCACCGTGTTATACGTGATCTAGCACAATAAACAGGATCATTACAATTAACTGACGGAGAATTAACAAAATCTTCATTTTTCAACTATTCGGTAAATTTCATCTCTTTTCTTTTGAGAGTTTTTTTATTTTAAAAAAGACTTACGAATTTGTTCAACATAACGATTCATTTGACGATCAAAACATTACAACGATCATCTATTTCGATGATCATCAACGTTATTTTACTTCAATCAATTAAAGCGTCATTTCATTATGCGGTGAAATATCTTCGAGTGGCACAAAAATTCATTCTGTGTCTGTTGAAACAAGTTGTCATCACTCCATATGATCTCTCTCTCGAGAACAATTTCTCAATGATTTAATCAGTGAAGCGGACGTAGAGAAAGTGCAAGTTGATTTTGCCAAAGCAAGATTGTTGCTAAAAGTAGATCCAATGGGAAATTCACTTGAAGAATTTATTGAGAATAATAATCGAATATTATGTCGATTCACTATGATGAAGAAAAAGAAGAAATCAGGTGTTCACGTTTAGATACATGACTTCGCTTCTTTTCCAAGGAAATCTTTTCTTTTTGTTTTATTCCCTTTCAGGAAATGATAGAGGAAGTACACATTCATCAGTTGTGGATTATAAAAGAGTTTTAACGGAAGTATTTGAATTACATTTCAATCATTTTTATTTAAAAATGGCAACGGAAAAAGATCCTCGAGCTGTTCTTTTACTCATTTGGTAAACTTCTTGAATCTCATCAACGAGTATCCGAGAAATTTACATATGGAAACAACAGATGATTGTGGTTTTGTTCCATATAGTGAGAATGGATCGATTTCAAGAGGAAAATCTTACGAAAAAATTTGAGCAAGATGTAAAGGAACGCAATTAGCCAAAGAAGTTCTTAGTTTATCAGCAAAACGCGTTCGTTAAATTCACAAATCAACGTTCCTATTTTGTGTTTAGCGTTTGAACAAATTCTTTCTTTTAGATAGAAATCCTCTGGTTTCACTTAAATTTCTCTTATCGTCAGGTTAATTGTTCAGAATGTTTTCTGCTCCATTAGATTTTCTTTTTACAAAACAATAAAAACATACGCACACTACCTCAAAAATATATTGCGAACAAACAGCTTTTTTCTGAAGTACACTGACGTTATGTAGGAAGTTTATACTGAATAAATATGAGATGATTTAAGCCTCAAAGATAAGAATACGACGCAGTTTCTCTCTATTGCATAGATTATAAATACAAAAGGACACACATAGTTGTTGATGAAGCTACGCCTATATTTATTTCTTCTTCGTAAACCGCATCGTTCTGATACATAACACTCGTTTATATATTTGTCTATGGAGAAGAGAACGCAAGGAAATAGCATTTCAAAGTACATCAGAATGCAGCAAATATGGATAATCTATTATATGAAAAAATCGTATCATGCGTACAGCGCATGTCAGAGAGATTGTCACGATGTAAACGACAAAAAGGCTACGCACTTGAATGTAGATATCCATGGCAAATGTTGTTCTTTTTTCAACGCTTTTATCTCAAATAAATTTCACCTGGTATAACGAACCGAAACGATGGTCTATTAATGAAACAACCGTTTATGTTCATACGGACAAAGACACCGACTTTTGGCAAAGAACATTTTATGGTTTTCAGCGTGATACAGGACATTTCTTGTACAAATCTTTATCTGGTGATCAACCTTTCAATTTAACTGTGAATGTACGAGGTAAATATCGTGTTCTCTATGATCAAGGCGGTTTAATGATACGAATTGACAACAAAAATTGGATTAAGTGTGGCGTCGAATACGTTGAAGGTCAACAATATGCAAGTGCCGTGGTCACAGTTGATGGATGGTCGGATTGGAATGTTGTTCGGATAAATGCGCCTGATGTTTTAAGATTAAGAGTTCGTAGGGTGAGAGAAACAATTCATATTGAATTTGCTGAAGATTTACAAAGTGAATTTAAAATGATGCGATTGGCGTATTTTCCAGTGATTGAAAGAACTCGATCGATGATGGTTGGAGTTATGTGTGCCTCTCCAGATGAAAAAACAAATGGCTTTGATATTTATTTTGAAGATTTAACAATCGTCGGAGAACCTTATACGGACTCCAGCACAAGTGTTCGATACTCCAGTGCATATTTACTGTTTCTTCTTGCTTATTTACTAATTCAATGAATTGACTATCTTTTTATGATTAAATTTTCAAATATAAATTAATTTAGCGGAATAAAAACGTATATAACTGATTTACGACAGTTTTTGTTGGGTTATTTAACCCTTTGACTCCCGACTTTTCTTTATGGAACTAATGTTTGAAAAAAACATGATGATAAGTGACTAAGCAGTGTTTTGGGACTGCTGGTTAAGTTGTCACAAAAACTGTTGTTCTATGAGTATGCGCATGTTTAGTTTATTGTTGATGCACAAAGCTTTTGCTGACAAGAAAAAGCATTTTTTCACACAATGAGAAACACCACAAACAGTACATATTACATTCGTTTTCTTTTTTATTAAAATAAGGACATCTACAATAAGTTGGAATAAAATCTGGCAAATCATCTGACAATCGTGCTTTTTCATAATCTCCCAAATGACTACTCTATTATCAGAACCTGGATCCATTAAATTTTAGAAAATACTCAGCTTTTTGAGATAATTCAAAGTTCAAATATTACACCGGTAGTTCTATCGACAATATAATTATCCAATTATACTATAGTACCTTCTCTTATCAGGAAAAAACAACAGCACGAAGTGTTTCCAAACATGAATTACAGAATATTTAGCAAAATCTTGCGAATTCAAAAGGGCTACCCGACTAATTACGTTATCAGATTCATAAAAATATCTATACAGCCGTTCAAACAAGCATCCTAACTATGACTAAAATATGAAAATATTATCTCTGAACATCGGAAACCTCAAATAATTTCGAATTTTTTTCAAAAATATAACTTCTCACTAAGGTGGGAAGTATATATACCACCGAGAGTGAAAGGTTTAAGAAAATCTTTGGATATTTAACAATGTTCAACTTTAGTTGTCAATCAAACAATTGATCTTGATGCTTTATATTCTCTTTCTCGTAGAGAAGAGTCTTAGAAACATAAATTGTTTGCTTGCTTGCTTGCTTGCTTGCTTGTATGTCCGCAGGGTCAAAAAAACATTGAAAATCAATTTTTCCGAAAAGACATTTCTAGATGTATTTCGATGCGGAGACTTCGAATCTGATGTTAGTTTCTCGAAATTTTTTGTAAAAAATGATTTTTTAGACAAAGAGCCGTTTTTTACAAAAAAAAGCTTTTTTATAAAATTTGACTAAGGAGTTATTTGGGTCGATGAACTCGAATCTGGCGNCCACCGACACTCAAAATAGATATTATTATCTTTGTAACTGCAAAATAATCTAAAAAGAAATCATTAGGTCTGAGAAAAATTCTCATATTCCTATTTGAACGAAAACAATTCTGAAGTAAAATCAAGATGTCGTGATCGTTTCTTGATTTTTTTTAAAATTTAATTTCCATCTAAGAAGTTTATCTCTAAGAAACGAAGATTAAACGATTCTATTATGGCGATTTCATTTAATTAATTAATTTCGAAGACTGTTTCTTTTCTTTTCTTATTTATCGAATTTAAATCAAATGAATGTATTTATTTCAAGATTAAAGTCATACATCAATAATCTTGATGAAAAGAAGAGAGAAAGATATACAATAAACAATGATATGTATTTCAAAATCATGAAAGTATTAAAGTCCGAAGACATAGATGTGTCACCAAAATTCAAATATTGGGCTCGTCATACCTATTATCTGATAAACATCGGACCAACTCAATCAATATACAATAAGAAATCTAAATTACCATTAATTTCGCAGGAAAACATGTATGAGAAAATAAATGATTGTCATGTGAGTGTCGGACATTCGGGTCGTGACAAGACATGGAACGAGGTTATTAAATCTATTCCAGCTTTTATTGAAATTCTTTGTCCGACATAGGTGAAAACACGATACGCTGGTATACCGCAACAGGCTGTGATTATATTTATTAATATGTGTGATGTTTGTCAAGTTCGGCGGGCGTTTCATAAGCCACCAGCTGGAAAATCAATTGTTTCTATAGGTTTTTTAACTCGAATGCAAGTCGATTTGATTGATAAGAGAAGTTCAGCGCATGATGGATTCACTTTTATCATGCATTGTAAAGATCACTTTACAAAATTCAGTTGGTTATTTGCATTGAAATAGAAGGAAGCAAAAGGTGTAGCTTTCCATTTGAAAAACATATTTCACACATTCGGTCCTCCTAAAATTTTACAATCAGATAATGGAAAGGAATTTGCGTAAGAACAATCGCCGACGTATCTGTTTAACAAAAATTGACCAGTTAACTATCGCGATTGATAAAATAAGCAGTAGAGGCTTCGGAACAACTATTCGCTTTCGGCGGCTTTTCTTGTTATGAGAATGAGGAAAAATCGAGCAGGTTCAAGTTTAAATTCATCAGTAGTTGTACGCCATTCTATAGAAACTATATTTTTTTTACTAAAAGAAACGTTCTGGGATAAAATGGTTATCATTTCTTTGGAATAGTGATTTTCATCGATTAAGAAAAAGCAATAAATCAAGAATAAGATCTGTAGTGAGAATCCATCAAATTCTTAATATGAAAATATAAATATGAGTCAGAAAAGTGTTCGAGGAGATATTCCTATAGACGCATGTTTCTATCTTTTGCATGAAAACTATGATATATAAGAAATTTTTATGTTCAATCAATTATTTAGACCAGAGTCAGGTGATTCATGCTCCACGAGCATTATTTAGATAGTTTATCATGAAAGTTTTTAAATAGTCTCTATTGCACTATAAAATGAAATGACTATCATTTGGGAGAAATGATAATCTACCTACAAAATTCTATATTGTTTGAATTTGTTACAATGAAAATTGAAAAATGATAAGTTGAAAACAGGATGATAACTCGTATATATTCTCTATTTCCAAATGCAATATGGAGCGAACTCTTTCTCGTTTTATTCACCGACATTCTGCATTTCCTCTTGGTAAAATGTTTGATTTGATATCCGATGATGTCATTTCTACCGAGAAATCAAGTTTATTTGAAGATAAAAAATTTATATCACAATAAGTTCCTGTTCGAAATATTAAGAATTTAATGCGTATAACAGACGAATTTGTGGAGTTAGTTCTCAGTGGTGGTGGTTGTAGTATTGTTTGGAAAACCTCATTTAAAGATGGAATTCTTGCGATACAAAAACTATCCCATTAGATTCCGGTAAATTATTACAAGCCGATACGATTATTTGTGCTATAGGTTTTATCAAAAAAACTTCATCAAGCACTGGTACATGACATAACAGCATCAAAATCAGATATTCGAGAGAAAATGTAAAAGTGATTCTTTATTCAAATTTTATTCTTATCATTTGCACAATATTCTTCGTTTAAAATCTATGAAAAAGTATCACGTAGCTTTTTCATACAATAACGAGCAAGTATATTTGCCTAGATAAATCAATATATTATATAGATGTTGTTAGATTTTCTGGTGTAATGATCAATATTTTATATTCTAATTAAGAATTAGTATAAAAAAACTCATGAAGTCATTTGATCGTGCCTAGTATGTAAATCACGTACTTCGTATTTACCACATTTACATGTCATCATTATTGAATTTTAGTATTTCTTTTTTCTCCAAGAGAAACTCGTCTGGTAGACAAAGGTAATTTATTCTTAGAGAAAATTGAAAGTGTTGGTAATGACAGTAATAAGTATCATACTTTTTCTTCTTATTTTACCATGTGTTGATGTAACAATTTATGTTTACAATACTGTAGACAGTAATTCCGTTGAGTTTTATGATTGTATCCTTCATGATGGTTTATTTTATTGTCGACGTCCAAATGAACCAATGATTCTAAATAGAAGCAATGATACAATGCAATGTTATCACAATGGAACTCGTCATTTATTATCGAAAATGTATTCTGATAAAATTAAGATAAGTACTGTTTTACATGAATGGAAGTCAAGTATTGAAATGGTTGAACAATATGTACGCTATATGAATAATCGGGAAAAAGTTGATCAATACATGTGTGAATGTATAACTTTTCAATCTTTTGGAAAGAACTGCGAATATCTATTGCCAATAGGTAGAATATTTGCTGAAACTCTTAGCGCAGAAAACTCATTGAAAAGATACTATCCACGGTATAATCAACGATATGGTAATATTGTTTATTATAGAACATTGGAATGTAATTCAGGTCTTTTACATTTGGACTGGAGAGATATTTGTGATGATATTCAACAATGTATGTCTGGATTAGATGAAATTAATTGTGATCTACTTGAGTACAATGAATGTGAAGATGATGAATATCGATGTATGAATGGCATGTGTATTCCTGAAGAATATTTTCTCGATGGCGAATTCGATTGTTTAGATTGGAGTGATGAAGTACAATATTATGATGATACGAATTGTCCCATAGAAAGTGCAAGTATTCAATGTGATGATCGAATTTGTCCACCGAGTCAATGGTCATGTGGTGATGGACAATGTATTACTGATCGATTTGAATTTCAAAAATTATCACAAATCAAATCAGAATGTCGAAGTCGACGTGAACAATATTTTATTTGTGAAACACATTATGTTCGACCAATGTGGACATTACCGACTGGTCGATGTAATGATGGTATGGAGTATGAAGAATCAAATGTAAACAATTATACGTCTTCGAAACGTTGTGAGTATCTCCTCAAATGTGCTCTATCGAAAGGAGCAGAAAAGAATTGTCCGTGTAAAAATTTTTTCTCGTGTGCTCAAGAAATTCTTACTATATGTCCTTCACCATATATTCAATATCCAGCTGGTGCACTAATGACTCCCTACATTCTTTTTTTCTATAATCGAAAAAGAAATTCTTCATATTCTTCAGTAAGACCAGATTTCTCTTGGATTAATGGAACAATTAAATGTGATGGAATACGAACTGATATATCTGGTCGACGCTTTTCAAATATTACAACAATTGAACAAATGACAGACTCATTATGTCGATATTTGAAGAATCAATCTGTATTTAATAACTACACGTATGATCAATCCTGTTATAATCAATCATTAACTTTCAATAATCGTCCATATAGTTCAAGTAAGATTTGTAATAAATCGGAAAAATGTCTTTCAACTTATCGTATCAAAGATGGTTTTGTCAATTGTTTTGATCAGATGGATGAAATAGAAGATATCTCTACTTTTAATATATGTTCGTCTCAACATCGACGATATCGTTTTCGATGTTTTAATAACGAATCAACTTGTTTGAGCATTATTACTCTCGGAAATAATAGAATTGATTGTAAAAATAAATTTGACGAATTATGGTTCGGAACAAATATCAAATTAGCAAATATAAATTGTAATAAAATATGGAAATATGAATGTGAATCTCTTCGACAATATGTTGAACAATCATGGCTTTTAAGTACTACAAGTGAACATATTCAACACTTCCGAATACCATTTCGTCAATATTGTGATACATTCTGGAATTTAGCATTAAAAGAAGATGAAAATATAGACGAATGTAAAAAATGGTGGGTATGTACAGATCAACAATGGCAGTGTCATACTGGTCAATGTATCGATCCATTATGGGTACTTGATGGACAATGGGATTGTCCTGATGCATCAGATGAAGATAATCTATTATTCTACTCATCGAATTCCAAGCGAAATTTACAATTAGTCAATGAATCGGAGCTTAATAAGAGGTTTAAGAAACACAATAAATCGTTACCTTTTTCGACTATTTGTAATTTAACAACACATTTTCCATGTTACTCTGTTAATATTTCTGATCCACTAGATAATTTAATATATAATCGACTTTGTATCCGTCGGGATCAGATTGGAGATGGTCATATTGATTGCTATGGAGCTATTGATGAGCGTAACACTATAGCGCATTGTGAACAAACAACAATGCTTGGATATAATTTCAAATGTAGTTCCAATGATCAATGTATTCCATATTGGGATCATTGTTTTGGAGATCGATGTAAAATAGATTCCGATGATCAGATCTGGTGTGAGTTTCGACAAAATTTAACTGACTACGACAGTCTCTCGGATGCTCTTTGCTTTAATGGTACATGGATAAAAAATACTCGATGCAATCGAATATCAGATTGCTTATATGGAGAAGATGAATATATGTGTGAATATCAAAATATTTCGAAATTAACTGGTGTTCCATATCGTAAAGATAAAGAAAAAAATACCACAAGTGTCGCATATATACTTGGAGCAATTCGATTTCCATTAAATTCAAACATCACTCAGTCGGTTACAGGCTCAGTTTCCGTCACATTACCAACTATATCAACGAATCTGACAGCATCACCAATTGCCTATCGATGTAATCGAGGTGTTGGTATAAAAGTCCATAATGGTTCAATTGCTTGTTTCTGTCCACCTCAATATTATGGTGACACATGCCAATTTCATACTGATCGAATCATAGTTCTTCTTCATCTTAATCTATCTCAATCGATCTACACGGTGAATAGTGATGTTAATATTGTACTCAAAATGATAGTTCTATTTGTTTTCAATGATGAAATAATTACTAATCATGTATTTCATGTTCGACCCTCGTCGGAAATGTTTATTTATACAAAAAAAATGATACATTTTCTCTACTCTCGTTCATCATCATTACTACAACATAAAATACAACGATATTTTAATCGATCAAATATTGTCGATAATCATCCTTATTCAATTCGTATTGAGATGTACGAAAGACAAAAGTCGTACGAACCTTTACTCATAGCTGTATGGAAATATCCGATTTATTTCGATTTTTTGCCTGTCTTTCGTTTAGCTAAAGTTCTTCATTTAACTAAATTAAATTTTAAACAAAATACCTGTTCGAGTAATCCTTGTAATCCACATCAAGATTGTCAACCACTACAAAATGATCAAACAAAATACATTTGTCTTTGTAAAAGTCATTTCAAAGGTGAAAATTGTTCAATTGTAGATCAACAATGTCTTGATAATTATTGTATGAATGGATCTTTATGTAAACCTAATTATCGAGGTATATTAATTGGAAATAGTTTACCCTATTGTATTTGCTTGTTCGATTATTTTGGAGATCAATGTGAAATTCGACATGATCGATGTAGATTGACACCTTGTCTTAATAATGGTTCTTGTTATGCTACTTCTAAACCAGATACTATTGCATGTTCATGTACTGAAGGATATTATGGTAAACATTGTGAACTACCAAAACCTCAAATAAAATTGCTTATTGATGAAATGATTAATCATGATGGAGCTGTTATTCAATATTTTGATATTGATTTTCTATCATTGAATCTTATCCTCGTTCGACAACAAGTCTATCGAACTGTTCCAACTTTAATTGAATATCGACATAATCAAAAGACGATACCAGAAATTATTGTAGCAAAAGTCTATTCTAATCAGATCGACAATTCGGCGGAACTATATTTGCTTTCTGTCCATGTTAACGTTACTTCAATCTATGCTATTACTCAAATAATCGAACAAAATCGATGTGCTCATTTACATACCTTGATTTCCAAGAATGAAACTGAACGTAATTTAAACTATTCACCCATTAAATATCATCGTCTATGCCAGATTAATGTAAACCTAGTATGTTTTCATGATGGTTTTTATCTATGTATTTGTGATGAAAATCATAATCGAACAGAATGCTTTCGTTATGATGATAAACTTGATCATTGTACTTATTGTCTTGCAGGTGGTCGTTGTGTAAAAGGAGATCCATTACAGTTGAATGATTTCATTTGTATATGTCCAGCGTGTCATTCAGGTACTAAATGTCAATTTAATTCGAATTCATTTGGTTTTACTCTTGATCAACTTTTCTTCGCTGATCTTACTTCTAATAATCAAAAAATAACATTTCGATTACTGATCATTTTACCTCTTCTTCTATTTTTACTAGCATTACCAAATAATATCTTTTCTTTTCTCACTTTTCATCGTCCAAATTGTCTTCACAATGGTATTGGTCAATATTTACTCTATATGAGTATTATCAATAAATTGAATCTTGGAATGTTGGTTGCTCGTCTAATTCATTTAACAATTCAAACTACAGCTTTACATTCACATCCATTGATCGATCATTATTTTTGTAAGATATGTAGTTATCTTCTTACATCATCTAGTCGAATGGTTTATTGGCTTTCATCACTAATAGCTATTGAACGTGTGTATATGATACTCTTTCTCAATCGACGTTGGCTATGTAAACCACATATTGCTCGTCGTTTAATTGTTCTCACTTTTACAGGTATTTTAATTAGTGATATACCCGAACTTTTATTCACTAAATCATTATCTGGTATTCATAATGACGGTGGCGGTATGTGTATTATTGAGTTTTCAATTTCTACTCGATCGATCTGGTTGATGTATCATCGTATTATTTCTGTTATTAATTCTATTTTACCACTATTGATCAATATTTGTTGCACCCTCACGATAAGTTGCGTAGTGACGAAAAAAAAGATGAATACACGTACAATAATTGCTCGTATGTATTTTGAAAGTGTGATGAGATATGGAGTTTTATATCTATTTTTAGATACTGGAATTGAAACGAAACATCAGAATGAATCAATTTTAGTTAACTATCGAAATTATCTTCAGTTTGTGTTCAATGTATTGAGTGACAATAAAGAGTTGATAATTGGACCGAGTATTACTCTCGTTCCACAATTATTCTCATTACCACTTTTTATAATTTCGTTTACATTATATTGTCAAAATTTAGAAAATAGTCAAATGCGATATCTTCTGATTGTTTCCTATTTTACTTCATTTATTCCACAAATAATTAGTTTTATGTTGTATATTTTCCCTTCATCGTTCTATTCAACCGAATGGCATGCGACTAGAATTGGTCGATCGATATCTGCCTTCTTTCCAGTTAATCGACCAACAATTCCAACAATAACGATTACGGCGACTCCCAAAGAATAGATCATCAACAAAATTGACAATCGATTTCGGACCTTTCGACCATTTTTTTTTATCGAAAACTAGGTATGCACCCAGTTCCAGTCCGACTGGGTATTAGCTTCCCATGGTAACTTCTACTGGATACTACATATCTTCTACTGAGAACAAAAGTTTGTTATTAATTCATTCATAACGAATTATGACTAATTCAGATGCTACCAAATTCAAAGATCAAATCAAATTTAAATGTTTGTTTTCCAATCTATAGTATACCATATGTATTAATATTCTTTCAGCAAATTATTCCAATTCATTCCAATGTCTTTATTGCATGCTTTTTGACAGATATCGAAAGAGATCAATAGGCAAACGGTTAATGACGAAACAATAGAAAAGCTTTTCAAAATTGGCTGCATAATCTAGATCAGCTCTTTAATCTGATTAACTATTGATATTCGCTTAAGAGATGATTTTTAACGATTTTCACTGCTATTGATAAAACAATTCGTATCACATCTCTATTTATTTGTCTACCAATAGGGAAATTAGAATAAATACATAAGACATGAACCAAATAGCATTTTAATGAAACTCACTGCAACGTGTTTTATCGCTAGGTAGACGCTAATATATTATTTAAATTTCATTCACATGAATTGATGCGAGTAATATGATAAGCTTCGCGTAAGTTTCATTTCTAAAGTATATCTATGTGATTATATATTGACAGTAATGATACGATTTACTTAACTCAGCATTTCAATTTACATGGCTTCGGTCTCAACTAAAATATGTATTTCGAAACTAAATTGCTTATCGATCAGCACAAAAATGAGAGTTAATGTTTCCTTTAAATGATAATGTAGTTGAAATCCTACTTCTTGAGGCAAACAAATTCAACATCAAAGACTGTGCTTATTCATTAGCTGATATAGATAAATGGGTTCATAACCGTTGATACATCGCTGTCCATACACTGTAAAAAAAAAGGAGTTTTACCAAACCAACAAAGGATCTTCCCTCCGATACAAGGGACGATCCTTTTTTGGTTCAGTAAAATGAAGGTTCCGAAGAGAACCTTACAGGTAAAACTAAGAACGAAGGTTTCGCAGCAAAGGTTTAGTACGATACTTTTTTTCTTCAAAAGACAGAAGGTTCTGTATCATAGGTACCGTACGGAACCATCTGTAACTATATTAAAAAACGTTTCGTAAAAATTCATAGCTGCGAAACCTTCGTTGCCTTAGTTGTTCTCTTGGGTTAGTTACAGGATTGGTT